CGCAGGTGCGCTCAAACTACCGCATATGCGGAAACTGGCCTTCCCTCACATGGCCGCATCTGCGGTCTCTCGGCCACTTCTGCGGCGCTGCACCTGTGGTCCGCAAGCCGCAGGTGCAATTATGATGGCAGACTCAGCAGCTTCAGCTGCAAATTCCCAACTCCAAAATTCTCGTTAACCATCCGAAATCACCCCGAGGCCCCCGGGACCTCAACCAAAAGCGCGAACAAGTCATATATCATTATCCAAACTTATACAAATCTTCAAAACACCTCAAACAACAACGAATCAACCAATTAGCATCGAATTCAAGCCTAAGAACTTCAAAACTCTCAAAATACGCTTTCGATCAAAAAGTCTATCAAACCTCGTCCAAATAACCTGAAATTTTGCAAGCACGTCAGATTCAACACTATAGAGCTACTCCAACTTCCGGAACTCCATTCCGACCCGATATCAAAATCTCACTATCGAACCGGAAACTTCAAAAATTGAACTTTCGACATTTCAAGCCTAATTAAGCTACAGACCTCCAAAACAAAATCCAAACACGCTTCTAAACCCGAAATCACCCAACGGAGCTAACAAGAACCAACAGAATTCCATTCCGAGGCCGTCTTCGCACTGTTCTGACTACGGTCCAAATTCTAAAATTTAAACTCTAATTTAGGGACTAAGTGTCCCAAAACACTCCGAAACTCAAATTAAATCCTCCCGACAACTCACAATAGCAGAAACAAACACTGGGAATGCAATTAATAGGGGATCGGGGCGTAAATTCTTAAAACGACCGGCCGGGTCGTTACATCCTCCCACACTTAAACATTCGTTCGTCCTCGAACGAGCATAGAAACATACCTGAAGTTGTGAAAAGATGAGGGTAACGGCTGCGCATATCCTGCTCGGTCTCCCAAGTCGCCTCCTCGACCGGCTGACCCCGCTACTGAACCTTCACAGATGCAATGTTCTTTGACCTCACCTTTCGAATCTGCCTATCCAATATCGCCACTAGCTCCTCGACATAAGATAGATCCTTGTCCAACTGGATTGAACTGAAATCTAACACGTGCGACGGATCACTGTGATACCTCCGGAGCATCGAAATATGGAATACCGGATGAACTCCTGCCAAGCTGGGAGGTAAGGCAAGCTCATAAGCAACCTCCCCAACAAGCATCAATATCTCAAAAGGGCCAATAAACCTCGGACTCAACTTCCGTTTCTTCCCAAACCTCATAACACCCTTCATAGGCGAAATCTGAAGCAGAACCCGCTCTCCAACCATGTAGGAAACATCATGAACCTTCCGGTCCGCGTAACTCTTCTGCCTAGACTGGGCTGTACGGAGTCTATCCTGAATCACCTTAACCTTCTCCAAAGCATCCCGAACCAAGTCTGTGCCCAATAATCTAGCCTCACCCGGCTCAAACCAACCTACCGGGAATCTACACCGCCTACCATTCAAGGCCTCATACGGTGCCATCTAAATACTGGACTGATAACTGTTGTTGTAGGAAAACTCCGCCAATGGCAAGAATTGATCCCAAGAACCTCCAAACTCAATCACACACGCACGGAGCATATCCTCAAGAATCTGAATAGTGCGCTCGGACTGTCCGTCCGTCTGAGAGTGAAATGTTGTGCTCAACTCCACTCGAGTACCTAAATCATGTTGTACGGCCCTCCTGAATCGTGATGTGAACTGAGTACCTCTATCTGAAATGATGGAAACCAAAATACCATGCATACGGACAATCTCCCGGATATAAATCTCCGCCAACCGCTCCGAAGAATAGGTAGTACTCACAGGAATGAAATGCGCAGACTTGGTCAGCCGATCCACAATCACCCAAATGGCATTGAACCTCCTCGAAGTCCGTGGGAACCCAACTACGAAGTCCATGGTGATCCGCTCCCACTTCCACTCTGGAATCTCTATCTGCTGAAGAAATCCACCCGGTCTCTGGTGCTCATACTTCACCTGCTGACAATTAAGGCACCGAGCTACAAACCCAACTATATCTTTCTTCATCCGCCTCCACAAAGAGTGTTGTCTCAAATCCCGGTACATCTTCGCGGCACCCGGATGAATGGAATACCGCGAACTATGGGCCTCCTCTAGAATCAACTCTCGAAGCCCATCAACATTGGTTACACAAACTCGACCCTGCATCCTCAATACTCCTTCATCACCAACAGTCACATCTCTGGCATCGCAATGCAAAACCTTGTCCTTAAGGACAAGCAAATGAGGGTCATCAAACTGACGCTCCCAGATACGATCAAACAAGGAAGACCGAGAGACCACGCAAGCTAGAACCCGACTGGGCTCCGAAAGATCCAATCTCACAAACTAGCTGGCTAAGTCTTGAACATCCATCTCCATGGGCCTCTCTGCTGCTTGTAAGTAGGCCAAACTCCCCAAACTCTCTGCCTGGCAGCTCAAAGCATCGGCCACCACATTGGCCTTGCTTGGGTGGTACAAAATAGTGATATCATAGTCCTTCAGCAGCTCTAACCACCTCCTCTGTCGCAAATTAAGGTCCTTCTTCTTAGACAGATGCTGCAAGCTCTGGTGATCAGTATAAATCTCACAAGGCACACCGTACAAATAATGACATCAGATCTTCAAGGCGTGAACAATAGCAGTAACTCGAGATCATGGACAGGATAATTCTTCTCATGTACCTTCAACTGTCTGGACGTGTAGGCAATCACCCTACCGTCCTGCATCAATACCGCTCCAAGGCCAACCCTCGATGCATCACAATAGACAGTATAAGACCCCGAACCGGTAGGCAATATCAAAACTGGGGATGTAGTCAAAGCTGTCATGAGCTTCTGAAAGCTCTCCTCACACTCTTCCGTCTACTGGAACGAAGCACCCTTCTGGGTCAGCCTGGTCATAGGTGGTGCAATAGATGAAAATCCCTGAACAAATCGACGGTAATAACCCGCCAAGCCAAGAAAATTGCGGATCTCTGTACCTGAGGATGGTTTGGGCCAACTCTGCACTGCCTCCACTTTCTTCGGGTCCACCTGAATACCCTCACTCGAAACCACGTGACCCAAAAATGCCACAGAATCCAACCAAAACTCACATTTCAAGAACTTAGCATATAGTTTCTTCTCTCTCAAAGTCTGGAGCACTATCCTTAGGTGCTGCTCATGATCTTCCCGACTCCGGGAATATACCAGATGTCGTCAATAAAGACAATGACGAATGAATCAAGATATGGCCGGAATACACTATGCATCAAATGCATGAAGGCTGCTGGGGCATTGGTCAGCCCAAATGATATAACAAGGAACTCGTAATGACCACATCGAGTCCTGAAGGCAATCTTCGGGATATCTAGCTCCCAAATCTTCAACTGATGATAGCCTGAACGCAAGTCAATCTTAGAAAACACACGAGCACCCTGTAACTAATCAAACAGGTCATCAATACGAGGCAAAGGATAACGATTCTTTACTGTAACCTTGTTCAACTGGTGATAATCAATACACATACGCATAAAACCATCCTTCTTCTTCACAAATAAGACATGAGCACCCCAAGGTGATACACTGGGCCGAATGAAACCCTTATCAAGGAATTCTTGTAACTGCTTCTTTAACTCCTTCAACTCAGGAGGAGCCATACTGTACGGAGGAATAGAAATGGGCTGAGTGCCCGGCAACAGATCAATGCCAAAATCAATATCTCTATCAGGCGGCATGCCCGGAAGGTCAGCTGGAAACACATCACAGAAATCTCGTACTACTGGGACTGAATCAACTATAAGGGTATCAATACTGACATCTCTCACATAAGCTAGATACGCGTCACACCCCATTTCAACCATACGCTGAGCCTTAAGGAATAAAATAACTCTACTGGAAGTATGATCTAAGATACCCCTCCACTCTACTCGCGGTACACCTGGCATATCCAGCATCACGGTTTTCGCGTGACAATCAAGAATAGCATAATGGGGCGACAACCAGTCCATGCCCAGAATAACATCAAAGTCTACCATGCTGAGCAATAACAAATCGGCTCTGGTCTCAAAACCACTAAGAGCAATCAAACACGACCGATAAACGCGGTCTACAACAAGAAAATCTCTAATAGGGGTAGAAACATAAACAGGAGAACTCAAAGAATCCTGAGATACGCTAAAATACGGGGCAAAATAAGAGGACACATAAGAATAAGTGGAGCCTGGATTGAATAGAACTGATGCATCTCTATGACAGACCAGGATAGTACCTGTGATGACATAATCAGAGGCCACGGCCTCAGTACGGGCAGGAAGGGCATAGTATCTGGCCTGGCCTCCCCCTCAAGGGCGACCTCTACCTCCCCGACCTCCACCTCTAGCTAGCTGAGTAGGTGGGGTAGCAATTGGTGCTGTGATCATAGCCTGAGAAGTCTGCGGGGCGTGCTGTGGCTGAGAAGTCTACGGAGGTGCACCCCTCCTAAGTCTGGGGCAATCCCTCACCATATGGCGTGTGTCACCACACTCATTGAATTAATTAACCAGTGACAAATTTTTTACATACCTTCGTTGAATAGTGTACCTGTTTTTCTTTTCATTCATACTTGGGAAGGATTTAAATAAATAACTTTACCACATTTTTTTTTCCTTCCCCAATTTTAGACGAAATAGAAAAGTTGATGGGCAAATTTTTGATGTACCCTCCATTTCTAAATCTATGAAATACACAAGGGAAATATTGTTAGGATTTTGATTTTGTTTATAAACCATTCAACCGGGCTATGCTGGCCTGATGTGTGGCATTATCTCCTACCTCGTATATAGATCGTAAGAATAAGTATAATAGAGGGAGACATAATACTTAACCTTCAGAGTCTAGGACCTGGTGCGCATAACACCATACAAAAAGGGGTCGCATTGTTATGTAGCTAGGAGATGTTGTATATATTGGTAAGATTCACTCGCTAGAAAGTCTTATATAAGATATGTCGATTTTGCCACTGACAAACATTATAGGAAATTAAAAGAGAAGACATATTTTACACAATATTTTGAAGCTCACAATGAGTCACGAAATTGAAAAGGATACCAAATTACAATATTTAAAATTGGAGGAAAGGAGGGACGGAAAAAAGGGGGAGGATTCACACAAAAACTTATTTCCTAAAATAATCAAGGAAACAAATCTTAGGCCCATTTAGCCATAAGAGACATGCCACCGGCACCAAGAAGAACAGCCATGTAAGACTTGATCTGTAGCTTAATACTGCCTTGTAACTTGTCACCCATAAAATCTGCAGCAAGAAGATCTACTAAAGCCATATAGATCAGAAGGCCAGCAGATGACGCATTGAGCAATCCAACGGTTATTAATGCCCGAGGGCTGTTCTCCTCGTAAGTGCTTGAAAGTGCTATCCCAAGTGCTATACCGAATGGAGTTGTTACTGCGAAGAAGAATGCCATTATTGCCTTCTTCAACAACTTGTACTCAGCCTGAATTAAACAAGAGTATAGTGGCAAAATGATTAAAAGAAAACAGTTAGTTAACCATCCATATTATCAATTAAAAAATGGGTTGGATAATGAACTTTTTAAAAAGATAAGAACCATATTATCCATTTAGAAAATGGATAACCAATGGGTCTAACATTTACATTTGTAAAGTTTCAAATTGGGGGTTCCTCAAGTTAGGGAGATTAAGAATTCTCCCAAAAGTGATCACATGCAAGAAGTCATGGATAATCCGCCAGTTAACTCGGTTTTTATCTATACTAAATATGGATCGGGTCGGATAATTGATCCGTTTTTTCATTACCCGTTTTCGACCCGACCCGCCCGTTTGCCACTCCTAGAAGTATATGAATTAGTGATATAAACATGAATTACTGAAATTGAACTGAGGATTATTTTAATTCTATGTCATAAAATGAAAACTTGCCTGGAGAATGCAACCACCAAGTCCCATTCCTTCAAACATTTGATGAAAGCAAAGTGCAGCGACAAGTCCTTTAATTGTGCAAGTATTGTTTGAAGCACCTAGAGATAGTCCTATCACTATTGAGTGCACAATGATTCCCAGCTCTAACACCTGCCAAAAACGTTTCCGTATTTTTAAATTATTTAGCTGAAGTCAACATAACTATAAGAAAAGGTTGACATAAAATGTTTCAAGAATAAGGCATTAGTTGTCAATTATTTATCTGTACCATAATAATTAACATACTATTGTTATCCTTTCAACACAAATCATTTCACACATTAGAGTGCTACCGAACGAAAATATACTCCGCCTATCTCAAGCTAGTGGAGCCATTTCAATTCCCAAGAGTCAAATAACCAACTAGCTGTTTTTTTTGTGTGCGGATATTTTATGAATATCGATCGAATGGGAGTATTATTTTAATAAGACAACTGGACTTAATACGGAAAATATTTAAAACGACCATACTACATTGAGTCAATCCACATGGCTTAGATAACAATATCCGTGTTCGTTTTTCTCCCATCCTTCACTGTCTAGTTCGATGATATCAATGTGTTTTATTATTCTAATTAAAATAACATAACAATCCAACGTCAACAAAGTAGCAACACAGTGAACAATAATTAAGTTGGTCGCTATCAAAACATATATAATATTCAAAGAGTTTACAAACTAATCCATTCTTTTCTAATTCCCTTTAGTTTATTTACACTTTGATAAGTTAGTTAATTATCTCCAAACTATTTTGACGACATGCTTCAAAATTTCAACCATGTTGAATAAAAAATGACATAAAGCAAATTGATTATCAGTACTCCTTCCATCCAGTGAAGGTGTTTGACTTTAAATGGAGTGTAAATAAAAATAAATATTTTTGAAACTTGTGATTTTACCATGATATTTATATAGCTTTAAAAATTATATTAAAATGTGAAATAAAAAGTTTAAAGTTAAATTATTTATCACATAATAAAACGGGATGGAGGGAGTAACATAATAGGAACCTAACCATGGCAATCACTCTGTATCGCAGTAATTTCGTGCCATCAACTCCATCTTTAGTCGAAAATGATCCATGGTGATGATGGGAATGAACATGGTTTCCAGCATTTACCGCTCCCATTTCCTGATCACCACCTTGACTTTGACTTTCTGGAATTACACCAGCTTTGTTTTTCTTGCTATACAAACTGGTAGCCATGGAGTCAATAGCCAAAGTAAAAATAGCAGACAACATGGCAACAAATCCAGTGAAGGGAAACTTATGCCACGGGTTCTCTTTCAAGCAACTGGACGACAACATGTCGAATGAATCCGGCAAGACGTGCATGAAACCGGTGGCTAGAATAATTCCGGCAGCAAAAGCCTTGACGATCACAAAGAGGCTACGTTCCGGGCTTAGGGCCGGAATTGAACGTGTGACCAGTGGAAGACATACTCCGATCATACTTGTGATTAAGATGGAGACTATGGCTATGATTTTTAAGCTTAACGCTTTTGATTTGTTAATACATGAGCTGTCATCTTCTGCTCCACAATCTTCCACTACTGACAAAGCTTGAGGTGTGAAAATTGAGATGAGAATGAAGATTATGGCAATGTGCTTCAAAACCTTATAATTAGCCATTGTGAAATAGAGAGGTTTGAGTGAATAATGTGTTTTTCTTTGTTTGGTGTTATGAGTTATGATACCTAGGAGCAACAATATATATACGTAGAACTTATTTGATTTTGTGTGCTAGGGTTAAAAAATAATGGAATTAATTAAGCAAAAAGAAAATCATATTGAATATTCAGTATCCAAATATTTTTGTTAAATCAGGAGGCGAAATGGAAACTTGAAAGTATAACACTTCTTCACCCAAATCATGTGGCGGCATGAAAATGGCATGCCATTGACCATAGTTGACATCAGCCACAAGAATATTTTTACAATAGAGAAATAGAAGTAAACGCTATATTAGGGAAGGCATGAACTGCACCTAAGTGTTTTATAAAATTAATTTAGTACAAATGGAGTTTGTACTTGGAAAAATACGGACATGTGTATCCTGATTCCACAACGACAAAGGGTGTATATTTTTAAGGAGTTGTTTGTTGTGCTGAATTACGAAGGCACGTGCTTGCAACGAGTTTTGATGTTGACTTTGTAGTTTCAAATCGTGCGTGGAATTTACAAAATACAACCATTTCATGATTATTAAAAATGCCTGAAAGAAAGGATGGATGATTGAAATAAAACCAATATTTAATTTGATGATTGTGCGATTGCGTTCAATATCCACAAATGATTAATGCTAAAATAGATAAACTAGTTTATCTGATTAATTTATGTCACAAGAGAAATATCAGCATTAAGTGGGTTCACCGACTAAGCGAATGTGATGAACATGCCCAATCATTCTCATTCCATAACCTTATAAACAATTTAATAGAATATGTTAAAATGATGCAATTCAATAACTTGGCCAAAATTAGTTTTCTATAATAGAAAAATAAAAGCAAACGCTATTAGCAAAGGCATGAACTGGACCATAGTTTTCTATAAACTTAAATCAGTACAAGAGGACATTGTACTTACAAATACGGACCACATGTTTATCCAAACTCTAATTTAAGCGTTGTGCATTTATTTAACTACGCAGGCAGGCACGTGTTTGGAACGAGGTTTGATGTTGACTTGGTATATCCCTATAGTACGTGGACTTTACAAAATACAACCTTTTCATGATTAAGACAAAATGCAACTGGAAGCAGCAACGAAAACAATACAAGCATTTAACTTAGGATTATGAGATTGCATTTGGCATCGATATTAAGAGATGAATGCTAAAATAGATAAACGACTACTTTGCCTGATTTATGTCGCATCGAAAAACCGGCACGTAGTGGGTTTATCTCACTAATCGAATCAACTTAATATGTCCAATCTAAACTCGTTCCATAACCTTATAAATAATTCAACACAACATTGTATACATGTGAAGTCGGTGATGACGCACATCCCAATTTTTCGGTAAACAAAACGAAGTGAGGGTATAAACATACAGGAACGACATAGATACTAGGAACTCTTTGTATTGAGGCCCGTAAAAAATAGACGAGTGCTTGCCATCGGACCTGATGAAATGGCACACCCCGGACTCGGGATGGGTTCTGAGACTTCGGAAAATACCATGAACGATTGTACATGATAGATAGAGGGCCGTGATATCCGCAACCAACTGGATATTACGGCACGGATCTTGCTCGATGACGGTTACGAATCGTCAATTAATGAGAAAGGAAGAATTTTTTTTACCTTTTTTAGATTTGTACTAGGAATGAAACTCTCCTACTATATAAAGGGGAAGCTTTTCTTTGATAACACATATTGTAACATGCATACCAAGGCAATGCAAATCCATTTTTCTGCTTTCTAGCTATTGCAAAGTTTTTACTTTACTATTGTTCTTCATTCACAATTGGCTTCAAACCAAGGATTCGACCGAGGACAGAAACTATTGCTCAGCCCAAGTTCAAGCTGGGCCATAACATTACAACTGGTTTGATTATCATTTTGTCTTTCACTCATTTATCTAATATTTGTGATTTATTTGTATTGTAATAATCCACATATTTTTAATACTGCATGCAAATTTAATTGTTATCCGTTTTAAAGGTAAACAGTTTGGTGCCCATCGTGGGGCTAAGTAAAATAGTGGTGGTTTGATATAAATCTCCATAACACACTCTATTTTACGCTTGTTCTTTAAAGTATCAATTTCAGGTCATCTTAAAAATGTCAAATTCTCAGTCTACACAATTGAACGTTGAGGCTCAGTCCGGCCATCATGGCGAAAACAACAATCCGGTGCCTAGCAATGAGGTGTCCCCTGCTGATCCTAACGGAGTCCCAGTTTCCGATCTGATCGATGCCATTTCACAGGTTGCTATCGACGTCAACCTGCCAACTGACCCCAAAAACAACATTCATTGAGGTCCCCGACCAAGAGTTCGAGAAACGTCCGAGGGTGAAGGTGACGGGATAAGCCTGCGGCTAATCTTCAAAATGTTGTAGGCTCAACAGGCGGTGATAGTGCAGCTACAGAATCAAGGCCACGCCCCTGGCAGGGTTGAGCCCTAACGGTCCTGGGAGAACACCCGAAGAAACGAACAAACCACCGAGAGGTCGGGTGAAGCTGAGCCCGGGGTCAACCCCGAGATAATAAAAATGCTTGAAGCATTGATGAAGCGAGTGGAATCAGGTGAGAAGAAAATTAAGGCCAACGACAAGAAGGTGGAGACATACAATTCTAGTGTCGATCAAATCCCGGGAGCACCCTCGATATTGAAAGGACCGGATTCCAAAAAGTTTATTCAAAACCCTTTCCCTCCGAGCGCGGTACTAAAGTCGATCCCGAAGACGTTTTGTATGCCTGATATTCCAAAATATAACGGAACCATGGATCTGAATGATCACGTGACCTCCTATACATGTGCCATCAAAGGGAAGGACTTGGAAGATGATGAAATTGAGTCGGTGTTACTAAAAGAGTTTGGGGAAACTCTATAAAAAAGGAGCAATGATATGGTATCACAACTTACCCCCCAAATTCCATTGATTCATTTGCTATGCTTGCAGATGCTTTTGTGAAGGCCCGTGTCGGGGCCATCAAGGTCGAAACCAAAAAATCTAACCTTTTCAAGGTTAAACAAAGTGATAACAAGATGCTCAGGGGAGTTCGTATCAAGGTTACAGATGGAACGGGTGGACATGCCTTCTGTTGACGATGATTGGACCGTTCAGGAATTCACTCAAGGACTTAACCCCCGAAGCTCCTTGGATTTGCAGCAGCTAAAAAGAAAGTTGGTAGAGTTCCCGGTGGTAACTTGGGCCGACATCCACAACAGGTGCCAGTCAAAAATCAGAGACGAGGACGACCAACTCGGAGCCCCTTTTGGGTTCGTTTATCCCATAAGAGCCGACGACAAGTCTAAGAGAGTTGTCGATCATGAATCAAGGCCGTTCCGAGATCAATACCAACCATAAAACGCAGTTCAAAGGGGAAACGGATTCGGGTCTGGGTGTCACCCCACTAGAAACGAAAAATGAAGCGATCGAGGGCCCAATAGTCGAGGTCTGATGAGCAAAAATGGTTTCGACAGGTTGCTTGGCGGTGGGGAAGCACCAAGATTATCAGAGTATAACTTCGACGTTGATGTTGCCAGCATCATATCAGCTATCGGGTGCATCAAGGAAACCAAGTTGCCTCGACCATTGCAGTCCGACCCTACCTAGAGAGATCATAACTTGATGTGTAAGTATCATGGCACTCATGGACAAGGACGGAGGATTGCGGGCAATTGAGAAAGGAAGTTTCCCGATTGTTTAATAATGGGCGCCTCCGAGAATTTTTGAGTGATCGAGCCAAAACGCTTCAGGAACAGGGAGGCCAACAAACAAACCGAACAAGAGAAACCTTAGCACGTCATCAGCTTGATCATTGGAAGGGTCGATATCCCCCAAGGGCCAATGATAAAGCGCACTAAGGTATCCATCATGAGGGAAAAGCGCACCTGAGATTATGTCCCGGAGGGAATCATTTCGTTCAGCAACGAGGATGCAGAGGGCATCGTACAACCTCACAATGATGCACTGGTAATATCCGTACTTATCAATAAATCTCGAGTTAAACGTGTGTTGATTGATCCAGGTAGCTCGGCCAACATTATCAGATCGAGGATCGTAGAGCAATTGGGGTTACAGGATCAAATAGTGCCGACAGTCCGAGTGTTGAACGGATTTAACATGGCATGTGAAATAACTAAAGGAGAGATAACCCTACTAGTGAACACCACCGGGACGATCCAAGAGAAAACGTTTTATGTGATCGAAGGGTACATGAGATATAACGCTCTATTAGGAAGGCCATGGGTTCACAACAAGAGGGAAGTACCTTCCACCTTACACCAAGCATTGAAATTCCCTACACTGGGAGGAATCAAGACGGTCTACGGAGAACAGCCCGCTGCAAAGAAGATGTTCGCAGTCGACGAAATACTCCTGGTGCCCGCAGTATTGACGACAAGGAACATGAAGCCGGCCAAGGAAGAAACTTAATAGCAATCACTGGTGCCGATCTCGCCCGAATCGGAGGAATGAGGGATAGACGAGAGGGAAGATTACGGAGTCCGAAGATCGTTCGTAGCTCCTGATGACACTGGCGCCACTAAATCGACGGTCAAGGAGTTGGAACAAATCATACTAATCGAATGCCTACCGGACCGAAAGGTATATCTGGGTACGGGGTTGACCCCCGAGCTTAGGAAAAAACTCATTGATTTCCTTGAAGCTAAAATAGACTTTTTTGCTTGGTCCCATCTTGACTTGACAGGGATCCCACTGGAGGTAACCACTCATAAGCTGAGCTTAGACCCGAAGTTCCATCCGGTTAAGCAGAAGAGGAGGCCGCAGTCCGAGGTCAAGCATGCGTTCATCAAAGATGAGGTATCCAAACTCTTTAAAATAAGGTCCATCCGGGAGGTTAAATACACGAGCCGGTTAGCTAACGTAGTGGTAGTGCCTAAAAAAGGGAATAAGCTAAGAATGTGTGTAGATTACAAACATCCAAACAAGGCATGCCCTAAAGATTCTTTCCCATTGCCTAGTATCGATCGAATGATCGACGCGACGGTC